GTAATGCTGAAAAACCTGATATTTAATACGTTGACTACGAAACCCTATTTGTGGGCGTGTCTGACACGCTCTTGGCCGGTTTTTTTACCTTATTTCCATACAAATACGGTTTGACGGACGCGCAAAAATATCGTACATCGCTGCGTCGACAGAAGTGTTTGTCGAATGATTTGACATAAACCATATTTGTATAACAATGAGTTCGAAATTAGTATTATCCCAAAGCAAAAATAACGTCGAAACTTGCGTTATGTGTGTAAAGCGCCCAAGGGTCTTACTAAAGGAAGGCCCACACGTAACGCCCGTTGCTGAGCTATTTGAGCGCAACACTAACGCATGCGTTTGCCAGTTGATAACTATTTAATGCGCCATACTAAAAACCTACAATAAAACAACGCAACGCAAAAACTTGCGTTGAAACAGCGCAGTAGAATTTTTTTATGTCGGTTTTTAGCATGGGAATTTGAAATTCATGCAACTGACAGACGCATGCGTTAGCGTGGACGTTAAGTGTGGGCCTCGCCTTAATGTTTCTTTGTTTGGCTTTCGCTTCGAAGGGCCTTACTTAAAGCACTTAGTAACATAATACTTATTAGCAAAATAAGAGTACATTTCTTACTTTTTCGCTAAACACGTGTAAGTTAAGAAGCTTGTTGACCTAATTTAAACAACGCTACAACATCAAAAATTAAAATAGGAAATTAAAAATATTGTCATGCATTGAACGGTCGATGACATGACATGACAATTTTTTCAAGTTCTTATTTTCAGGAGAATAAAATAACACTGTAAAGTAAGTGTATTATATAATCCTAATAGCTAAAACACCAAACGTAGTAGGTACCTACTTTCAGTTACAGTGGCCATTTTAGTCCATGGTCACTTAGCATACCGGCCTGGATAATTAACATAAATATGACAGAACATTACCGATATGGAATTCCCAGCGGCGTTGTGTGTATTACCTGTAAATATAAAAAATATGGTATTAGATAATATTTTTAGGTTAAAAAGCTATTAAAAAGGTTTACGATAGCGGCATTTCAAAATCTTGAAATACTTCAGTAGATAACTGTAAGAATTCAGTAGATTAGGTGCCGGCCGCCAACCCACCGATTTAAGGGGCCATCTTACACTGGTCTTTTCACGGTTTTTCATACAAATACAAAGAAAAAACAAATGTAGGTAGATTCCTTAAATGGATAGGCCGATGTGCTGCTGATAGGACGTAAAATTATCATAATGGGCCGAGCGTAATGACATTTTGATGATTTTGTCATTCCATTCCGATGCTTTCCAATATTGAATTATACAATTTTCCACAATTTGAATGCGTGCTGTATTGTAATTAAAGCACTCATTTCATGCGCCGAATGTCGTAATTTAATATCTGATTTCAAAACATGTTTATTTCGTTATCTACTATGAAGAGTTGGCTTAAACCGGATGGCTGGTTGCGACTGGATGACGAAAAGAGTCGAGAGAGAGATCGGGTCCCGTGGCGTTACCTGGGGGAGGCCTACGTCCAGCTGTGGATTGCCATAGGCGTGTGATAGGTGGTGTGATGAGGAATATGGAATCCACGAAAGCCTGGGACTACCATACCATAACAGCCACAACAGTCCACTGCTGGACATGGGCCTCCCCCTATCGGAGGAAATTACTCATCAAGCATGGCAGGCGGATTGCCTTCTGAGTTCTTCTAAGTATTTTTGTTTCCATGACATCGATCTTCTGAACTTATTAGGTGTCTCCGCTGTAGCTAGCTTTTAATGTTATGCAATTTGCATGCCAGCCACTAGTCCGGGCCATAACTCATTCCAGTGATTAATTGCCTTGTAACGGGACAGTTTGAATGAGCAACTGCGACAGCCACTCAACTAGCCAACTGGGAGGCATGCTAGTTGAATAAGCTGCAGGCTAAGATTGAGCCGCGGTAGTCCATATGGTAGAGGCGTCGCCAGTACAGATGACGAAAGTAGCAGGTTCAGATCCTGCTTGCGGTGTTTTCCAAAAAAGCCTCATACAAGTAACTAGCTACAGTAGCTGCGACTAGCTACAGTAGGGCCGTTGGATTAGGCCATATTTGACAGCTGTCAAAATCATGTTTATACTATGGCTAAAAGACAATTTTTCTATGTTGACATTTCTTCTAGCAGGTTTCACAGGAATATTCGAACGGCATAATGTTATGCAATTTGCATGCCAGCTACTAGTCCGGGGCATAACTCATTCCAGTGATTAATTGCCTTGTAACGGGGCAGTTTGAATGAGCAACTGCGACAGCCACTCAACTAGCCCACCGGGAGGCATGCTAGCCGCAGTAGCCCAGATGGTAGAGGCGTTTCAAATCCTGCCTGTTGTGTGTTTCAAAAATGTCTTAAAATCATTGGTAGAGGTCGCATCAGCAGGCCTGGGGAGAGAACGAGATGCCAATATACCTACAGATCAGTGCTTAAAACTTATTTACCTCTGCTGCGACTAGCTAATGTTATGAAATTTGCATGCTAGCCACTAGTCAGGACTCCGGGCCATAGCGACTGTCCCGTTGGCGTAGTGGATAGTGCACCTGCCTTCTACGCCGAAGGTCGTGGGTTTGATCCCACCGACACAAATATTTGTAAAGTAAATTTTCAAATATTCGTGTTTAGTCTGGGTGTTTTCTATGTATAATATGTATTTATTTACAAAAAGAAAGTATATAAGTATTATATCAGTTGTCTTTCAGATGACGAAAGCCGCAGGTTTAAATCCTGCTTGAGGTGTTTTCTAAAAAACCCGGCCAAGAGCGTGTCAGACACGCCCACAAATAGGGTTTCGTAGTCAACGTTTAAATATCAGGTTTTTCAGCATTACAAACTTAATTTTGTTGCTGGTTTGTTAGCAGCAGTATGATGACCAACCGCAAATAGAAAATCTCATTTTTTTCTGAAACCTTTAAGGGTACAATATCCGTTATAGTTTTCATTGTAACTTCAGATTGTAAGCTATATTCCATATTTATTTCAAATTTTTAGCGTTTATACTTTAGAAGTTACAGCTGGAACAAATTATGGATCAAAAACGCCCTTTTTAAAAGCAAATATCTCGTGACAGAAACATTTTAGTGACTTTGTTTCAAAGAAACCTAACCTTAGTTTTAAAAGACCTATTCAACGATACCCTATTCAATATTACAGAAGAAAAAAATTTTTTTTGCCCCCCTTTCCCTTGTATGGGAGGGGGTCCAAAAAACATTTTAAATATTTTTTTCTTAACATTTCTATATTTGGGTCAACACGATCTATCTTCTCACCAAATTCCATGTCGATAGCTTTAAAACTTACGAAGATATGAGGGCGCGGCATACAGACAGACAGACAGACAGACAGACAGACAGACAGACAGACAGACAGACATGACGAAACTATAAGGGTTTCTAGTAGACTACGAAACCCTAAAAAGCCCTAATACGAGTAACTTATTACCTCAGCTTTGACTAGCTACAGTACGGCCGTTGGATAAGGACATATTTGACAGCTGTCTTAATCATGTTTATGCTATGACTAAAAGTCAATTTTTCTTTGTTGACATTTCTTCTATAATATAATAAGGCCGACTGAATAAGTCCGATTTGACATCTGTCAGTTTCATACTAAAAGGGAAGTCATCAAAGGAAAATGGACCCTCTGCTATGGCATTTGCGCAAATCCGACATCTGTCAAAACCGACTTCTCTCGGCGTCGGTACTATAGTAGGTTTCACAGGAATATTCGAACGGCATAATGTTATGCAATTCGCATGCTAGCCACTACTCCGGGCCATAACTCATTCCAGTGATTAATTGCCTTGTAACGGGACAGTTTGAATGAGCAACTGCGACCGGCACTCAACTAACCCGCCGGGAGGCATGCTAGCTGCGGTAGCCCAGATGGAAGAGGTCGCCAGTACAGATGACGAAAGTCGCAGGTTCAAATCCTGCCTGCGGGGTTTTCCTAAAAATCCACTAAGATTGAGCCGCGGTAGCGCAAATAGTAGAGGTATTGCCAGTACAGATAACGAAAGTCGCAGATTTAAATCCTGTCTGTGGTATATTCCCAAAAAAAACTTATACGAGTAACTTATTACGTCAGCTGTGACTAGGTACAGTACGGCCTTTGGATTAGGCCATATTTGATAGCTGGCAAAATCTTGTTTATGCTATGACTGAGTATTTTTTCTTTGTTGACATTTCTTCTATCACAGCAATCAAATATGGCCTATTCGAACGGCACAATGTTATGCAATTCGCAAGCTAGCCACTAGTTCGGGGTAGGGTTGCTTCGACTATCGGGAACTATCGACAGTTTTACTATCGATAGTTTTCATTCATTAAGGCCTATACAATCGATAGGCCTATGATAAATATCGATAGTTCAAAATTAAGCAATACTATCGATAAGGTGCATCATTCAAATCTATGTTTTGGCCAATCGATAGTCCAATAACTATCGATAGTATCGATATTATTGATAGTTTTGGAGTATCGTTAGTCCAACAACGAACTATCGATAGTTGAACAATAGTAAAAACTATCGATTGTCTATCGTTTTACAGTCGATAGTCCATTATCGAGCGGCAATACTAGTCCGGGCCATAACTCATTCCAGTGATTAATTGCCTTGTAACGGGACAGTTTGAATGAGCAACTGCGACTGGCACTCAACTAGCCCGCCGGGAGGCATGCTAGTTGAATTGAGCTGCAGGCTTATATGGGGTGTAATTTTATTAGTGGCGGATCCGTTAAGGGTGTGTTCTGCCAATGAAACTGAACAACTTTCCCCAAGGAACATAGGTCGAAATATGAAAAAAAAATTGGCCCTCCCATACAAATTGACCCGGCCGGCCAACACACATAGTATGGGAAACCCAAATATTTTTTTCGTATTTCGACCTATGTTCCTTGGGGAAAGTTGTTCAGTTTCATTGACAGAACACACCCTTAACGGATCCGCCACTAATAAAATTGCACCCTATATTGAGCCGCGGTAGCCCAGATGGTAGAGGCGTCGCCAGTACAGATGACGAAAGTCTCAGGTTTAAATCCTGCTTGCGGTATTTTCCAAAAAAGCCTTATACGAGTAACTTATTTATTACCTCAGCTGTGACAAGCTACAATACGGCCGTTGGATTAGGCCATATTTGGCATCTGTCAAAATCATGTTTATGGCTAAAAGACAATTTTTCTATGTTGACATTTCTTCTAGTATGGGTTTCAAGGCTATCAAAATATATGGAGTATTCGAACGGCATAATGTAATGCAATTTGCATGCCAGCCACTAGTCCGGCCTATAACTCATTCCAGTGATTAATTGCCTTGTAACGGGACAGTTTGAATGAGCAACTGCGACAGCCACTACCCCACTGGGAGGCATGCTAGCCGCGGTAGCCCAGATGGTAGAGGCGTCGCTAGTACAGATGACGAAAGTCGCAGGTTCAAATCCTGCCTGCGGTGTTTTCCAAAAAAGTATTATGCGATTAACTCACTTTAGCTGTGACTAGTTACAGTACAGCCGTTGGATTAGGCTATACTTGGCAGCTGTCAAATTCATGTTTATGCTATGACTAAGTCATTTTTCTTTGTTGACATTTCTTCCAGTATCGGTTTCACAGCTATCAAATAAAAATATGACCTATCTATTCAAACGGCATAATGTTATGCAATTCGCATGCGAGCTACTAGTCTGAGCTATAACTCATTCCAGTGACTAATTGCCTTGTAACGGGGCAGTTTGAATGAGCAACTGCGACAGCCACTCAACTAGCCCACTGGGAGGCATGCTAGTTGAATTAAGCTGCAGGCTAAGGTTGAGCCGCGGTAGCCCAGATGGTTGAGGCTTCGCTAGTACAGGTGACGAAAGTCGCAGGTTCCAATCTAGCTTGCGGTGTTTTCCAAAAGATCCTTATACGAGTAACTTATTACCTCAGCTGCGACTAGCTACAGTGCGGCCGCTGGATTAGGGCATATTTGACAGCTGTCAAAATCATGTTTATGCTATGACTTAGTCACTTTTCTTTGTTGACATTTCTTCTAGTACCTATGCAATACCTATGGGTGGGTTTCACAGTTATCAAATGTGGCCAATTCGAACGGCATAATGTTATGCAATTCGCATGCTAGCCACTAGTCCGATCTATAACTCATTCCAGTGATTAATTGCCTTGTAACGGGGCAGTTTGAATGAGCAACTGCGACAGCCACTCAACTAGCCCGCCGGAAGGCATGGCATTTCCTTGCGATTCAATGCAGTTGCATTATGGTACCCTTAAGGTACCCTTATTTTCCAAGCGTCGCGACAACGACGCCGTCAAATTTTGACGGCGTCGTTGTCGCTGCGGTCTTGTAGAAAAACCCGACCGCATCCCATACAAACTCTAAGCTTCTCAAGCGCGCTGTCAACGTGACGGCGTCGTGGCGCGCCGCAAGGACGCCGACGCTCGGTCTTTCTGGTTCCCCATACAAACCAGTCATGTGACAGCGACAACGACGCGCGTCGTTGTCGCTGTCGCTTGGTTTTTAAGCCTACCATTATTCTTAAACGGCTTAAACCTTTGAATTATGGCGTTTTGGTTTTTGTCAAACGGTTGACGCATCCGTCAATGCACTGTTGGGCATGCGTCGTCGTATTTATATGGGATTAAGGAGAAAATTCGCATTTTCAAAACGCTGAAATAACGTCGAATCGGACGCTATTTGTGTAAAACTTCTAAGTAAAATTCTATTTTTTAAGCTCAATCATTAGTTCATTACTTATTTTCGAAAGGCTGAACTTTTACGTAACGACCGTTTTGATACTTTTATGTTCCATGTTTATTTACTTTTTATTTAAACCACTTGTACTTGTTTCACAAATTTTTATTTCGGGGTGACCGTTTTGATAGCTTTCTTTATTTAGATGCAGACAGATCATTCAGCAGTTACCGTTACTTCCGAAAAGTCTATAAAATCCTTAAAAAGCGTGAAACACACGTCACGCCCGTTTCTGCGTGTTTTTATCGCATCCGTTTCGCATGCGTTAGAAAAAAAGGCGAATTTCAACCTTATTCCCATACAAATATAACATCTACCTACCTATTTAACCGGAACCTCCTTTTCATTTTTCAACAGCGGCTAAACGGGTCGGAAGCGTAATATGCGGAAGTGTAGAACGGTTACTGTCTGCATTGCCCTGGCATTATAGTGGGGAGGAGGTTAGCGTCAAAAGAGGGCCACAACCTTGCAAATCGAGGTAGAAAGCTAAAAATCGGCAAGAAGGTACTTCTTGGCCCACTAATCAAAATGGGGGGTAGTGCCAAGCGGTATTTCTATAGTTGGACAACATCGTGCGCGACCTTCCTGCGGGGTACAGACGGTCGGGGGGCGAGGAAGCACGTCATTTTAATATGACGTGCGGCGCGGATGCGCGCGTCTCCCCTCCCCGCTACACCTCCCGCTAACCGCTGACATCTCCCCCCCCAACGTCTGTCACACCTAGGGAAGGTCGCGCACGAACTTGCCGGACTATAATTTAATTTTTTCGCTTGGCGCCACCTCTAGTTTTCATGGTGGGGTCGTAAGAGGCGACCGAGGGATAAACCCGACCCAAACAGCCAGGGCCAACCGTATGGTGGCGGTTAATCCATCACAAAAGCATTCCCAAGGAGGGTTGATGTTTGGTAGGCAGCCGGTCGTAAAATTCAGCCAAATCCTTTTGCAAAACGATTTTGTGTTCAACGAAACGTGTTGCGCGGACCCCAAGTAACTGGGATAAGGGCAGGAAGATGATGATGATGACCACCTCTAGTTTTACTATCATAATTTTCAGCTTTCTAGCTCGATGTGCAAAATTGAACGCTTAACTCCCCACTATTACCCCATTCCGTTGTCAGCTCGCTTCATTAAGGGGAATTAAACAGCTCCCTTTCCGAATTAAGTTTAACGACGCCGGCCGAGAATTATGATTTTCATTTGTTTGCAGCTTAAAAGGAAGTAGGTAACATCAAAGACGCGAAGCTGTGAAAGTCGAAACATTAGGTCTGCAAATCTTTAAAATATTTGCAGACATCATTATAACGCAATTGTTTCTGTCTAAAGTTTACTTATAGATTGTAGATCTTCACTGTTCTAAAAAACAAATGACGAAGATACTCTAATCATAGACAGTAACCGCGACCGACGGCTTAACGTGACCTTCGAAGCACGGAACGGAACCATCTTACTTTTCAGACATGGGCCTCTTAGATTTTTCGCAGGCTGATATTGAGTTTTTCCGTCGTATTTCCGCTGCGTTTATGCCCTTATATTAGATCTCAAAAATCTTTAAATTGGAAACTACGAGTATTAATAGCAAAATGTATATAAATCAAACCTTTACTTAGATATCTGTAGACTATTTCGGTCGTAGCTGTGATTGCCGAGCATTTGCGTAGGTAAAACTACAAGCTATGAATCGGTCCGAGGCGAATGCGTCCTTTTTCGCCTCTTTACTTTGCAAAGGTCTTTCTTTCCTTCGCTTCGCAGCTTAGAGTAGGTATTTACATAAGCAAGTTACAGAGTGCGCGTACCACTTCAAGCCATTGCGCCCAGCGTAACCAAAGTTCAATAAATTGTCAAAAATCAACAGAAAATATTTAAAAGGGGGAACCAGCGCATGGAACTGAACAACTTTCCTCAATGAATATCAAAACTATTAGACCTCCCATACAAACTGACTCGCTTGGCTGGTGCATTATTTTGTATGGGATGTCCAAACATAATATTTTTCATATTACGACCTATGTTCCTTGGGGAAAGTTGTTCAGTGTCTAAAATATTTGAGGTTGAACAGCCCACATCCACCCACTGCAGGGTAGGTATAGGCCTCTTCTCTATTTCGCCACTCCTCACGGTCGTGTGCTACTCATCCTGTATGTATACTCACGTCAAATGTAGGAGAAAAATAGATGTACCTACAGTTGTTGCTGTTGTGTTGTCGCTGCCGTTTGGCTACTGATGGACAGAAAGGTTGTATTCATACCCGTGCCAGCCGTTCATACCTCGTAGGACGCACTCTACATCTGCTGCTATATACTCGTAAGAATCTGTCCGCGTCTTTCCGCTGAGTTTAGGGATATTTATGCCCTTCTCTCACGGAAGGAAGGGAAATATTTGCTGTTCTAAGAACGAGTGTTTTATTTTCTTAGCAAAGTGTTTGTTCTTTCCTTTTGTTTGTAGGTGTTTTACGCGTGTCTGTTATTGTTTTGAATTTGTCGCTATATCTCACAGAAATTCATACAATACCTATACTTTTTTATGCAGTGTACACTAGAAAGTGTACAAGTAAAAGTGGAGCACTAGCCCGCATGATGATGAAATTCGGTCAGTGAATAACTTACGAGGCAAGCTAAATACGTACGTAGCCGTGGGATGCCGGTTTAGAATAGCATCAGCCTAATTCTACTCGTTGGCGTGGGTGACGTAAAAAGGGATAAATTCATTCAGGGAATGGGCAGAAACGTCCCTGTGAATGCAACATTTTACAATGCGCTCAATCGTGGCACGGCAAATAGCATCGCATCGGGTCGTTGGACGACTTGGTGTCCCACTCGAAAAGGAGAAAAACAAGAAGAAGACCTTGAGGAAGGTAATCTCCAGAAGTAGACTGTTGTTGCTGTTAATGAATCAACGGTAACCGTATGTTAGACTACCTACGGTAATGTAATATGTTTAACTTCGTGTACATGATTGCATGATGCTGTCAAGTTGCGGCTAAGCGATAGTTAATGGCTAACCAACTTCGACATGCGCTATTTGCTAACTAATCTAACTATCACACGACCTCATTAGGTGCATCTGCTGAAACAGTATAGGATATACTACTTAGGGCCTTTACACACTACAACCACAAATTAGGGAAACGGCGCGCGGCGAGCCTATACAGATGGCTCACTCAGTACCAGCGACGATTTGACGCTTACCAACGAAAACTGGAAAAAACCGGAATCTCAGGGGAAGTCAAGGTAATTTTTATACTTTGAGAATTTTACCAAAAGCAACCCTGGCTATGTAACAAGTGCCAATCGCAAAAATCCGAAATAG